TACGGGTTTCTAGTTTAATTCCATTATGATTGATAAACACTGTCTATGAGTCCAGTTCTTTTCAATTTGTTGAGGTTTGTTTTTTGGCCCAGGATGTTGTCTATTTTGGTGTACGTTCTGTGGACACTTGAAAAGAATATGTATTCTGAAATCGTGGAGTATTCTGTGAATGTCAATTAGCTCCTGATGGTAGATAGTGTTTTTGAGTCCTACAGTTTTGCTAACTTTCTAATTGCTCCATCAATTGTTGAGAGAGGAGTGTTGAAGGAATTGGGTCACACAGAAAAGTCTAGAGATGAGAGGTGGTGGGTGGTGTCCATTTGGTATAGAGTAAAGATGTGCTGTACAGGAGTGGCCTGGCGCTTGCCTTGACCAGAGATCAGATGAGGTCTTTAGAAGAAACCTCTTAAAGTTGCCTTAAAAGGGCCATCTGGAGAGGCAAAGAGCCCAACAGAGGGGTGAATGCTAAAGTCCAGCTTGGAGAGTTGAAGCCACAGCCTGATGAGAGGTCCTATTGGGAAGAGGGACTGAGATCAGGTAACCCCTAACTCAGGCACTATTATTGTTATTCTCTCATGATAGCCCTCCAGGTAGATGTTGAACCAGCTGAGTCTTTCCCCAAGTGCCCTCTCCGCACAATACAGAAAGTGTAACTCAACCCATGGAGGAGAAGGTGTTGACAAGGAAGTAGCACCCACCTGGCCTTTCCCCCACAGGCTTGTCCCTTGAGGTGCCCAAGGGAAAACTATGGATTAGAAGGAGTTTATAGTTCCTATCTTCTACTCCATAGGGCTCATTTAACATTCCTGAAATGAGGCTACTCCTGTGGTAGGAGGGCTAGAAAAAGATGAAGCAGGCCAGCTGGTGGTATGGTGGTTAAGGCAGCTAGATCCCACATGGATGACTCTGTGATTTGAGTCCTGGACCCAGCAGTTTGAAAATAGTGCTGGGCATATGTGCATGTGTGCCGAAAATCCCAAAAGGAAAGAGAAGTGGAGAAGGTATTGTGGTGTGGCCACTCCCCATGGCAGGGGAAGGGGTGCTTTCTCACTTTCTCTCTCTCTCTCTCCCTCTCATTCGCTCTTTCCAGTGAACATATGTGCTCTCTGACAAAATTTAAAAATATAAAATAAAAGAGGGCCCAACAGGTGGCATTGTGGTTAGGGTGCTGGGTTCCCACATGGCTGACTAAGGTATGAGTCCTGACCTGGTGGCTTGAAAATCATGCCAAGCACGTGTGTGTATGCACGTTTAAAATCCTAAGAGGAGAGTGGAGGAGAGATTGTGGCATGGCCACCCCTGTGGGGTGATTTCTCGTTTTCCCTCTCTCTATCTGTGTCTCTCCAGAGAGTGCATATATGCCATAGCAAAAATCTTTAAAAATTAAAAAAGAAAAAAAGGAAAGAAAAGGAAAAAGATAGAGGTCTGCCCAAGATGTCATCCAACGGGACAAGTTGAAGGGGCTGTTGTGTAAAATTCAGTCACCTCCACTGCCAGCCTACTCTCAAAAATGGTTGTAGCAGTTGGCTTTATTGCCTTAATCTGTTATTGCATTACTAACGGAAATACCTGAGCCTATGTGCTTTTATAAATAAGAAAGAAGTTTGTTTACAAACTAACAATTCTAGTGATGGAAAGTCCTAGGCCTATAGCAAGGCTGACAGAAGCACAGAATGGTCGGCACATGGAAAGAGAGAGAGGTTCTGACTGATCGCTCCTTGGTAACAACCAGCTGTTGTGAGAGCTTCTCACAAGAGCTAGAACTCACTGGGTCATATAAAACATCATTAACCTATTTATTAGACAGTTTCTTCTATGATCCAGTCACCATGAACCAATCACCACCACTAGGCCTTACTCTGGAATACCATGAAGTAATTACGTTTTCACTTAATACTTTTCTTTTTATAGTTTTTGCTGTCGTTTGTTTGTTTTTGCTAAACAGTGTGTGCATTCACCAGAGGGAGAGCGGGAAAATGAGAAATCACCCCCTGTGGGGATGGCCACACTGTAACCCCTTCTCTATTCTCCTCTCAGGATTTTAGGCACTCACACACCTGTAACCTTCATGATTCTCAAGCCACCGGGTCCAGGACTGGAACCGTGAAGCTGCCCATGTGGGAGCCATCCAGCACCTTAACCTCCATATCATCTACTGGCCTTCACTCAATACTTGTACAGTACAGACAATACAATTAAGTCCCAACACATGACTTTCTGGGGGACATAGTCAAACCATAGCATCCCCTACATCAACCACATGTGTTGAGTGACACAAACTCTAAGATGTTTTGCCATCTTGATGCTATGTCAGCAGGGGTGGAAGAAGCGGAGTGGGCCCTCTCCCGTGTGTTTCTCGGGGTGGGAAGGTCTCTAAAGCCTATACAGGCTACTGTGTTTTCTTAGGATGGCAGGGGTGGGTGGGGTTGGGGAGCTATCACACCCTATTCATATCTTATCTTGATCTATTGATAGTATAATCCTCCTGACACCCCAGAGTTTGCCAGTGACAGGCCACCAAATAGGAGCCAAGAATTCATGAGCCACCCAGGAACAGTACAGGGAGAATGCACCCTGAAGGGGTGTGGTGGTCCAGCCCAAACCGGGCGCCATTGGTGAATCCCTAGCCAACTTCACTGTCTTTATAATTAGGCCACACAAGGGTGTTCCCAACCCAGAATTTTACCCCTCGGTGTCAGCCTTTATATGCCCAGAGGCTTCTCTCCCAGCTCTGAGCATGTCTAGTTGCACACATGTATTTTTTTCTTTTTTTAAAAAAAATTATTATTTAATTTTATTATTTCCCAACTTGCCATAGGGTATGTGTGCCCACCAGAGTGAGACAGAGGGCAAGAAAGAAAGTGAGACAGCAAGCCGCCAGGTCAGGGACTCAAACCACAGCTGGCCATGTGGGAATCCAGTGACTTAACCACCATGCCACCTGCTGGTCCCCACACATTTATATATACGTATACGTATACATATATACATACACACACGTGTGTGTGTGTGTGTGTGTGTGTATATATGTATATAATTTTTTTTTAAAGAAAGATTTTTGCTATAGGGCATGTGTGCTCACTGGAGAGACAGGAGAAAGTGAGAAATCACCCCCCAGGAAGGGTGACCACAATGCATTCCCTTCTCCATTCTCCTTTCAGGATTTTGGGCACACACACACATGCCCAGCATTAGTCTCAAGCTGCCAGGTCTGGGACTTGAACTGCAGTCAGCTATGTGGGAGTCCAGCACCTTAACTACTACATCACCTGCTGGCCCCCATTTGTTAATATATGACTAATATGTTTTCTTAATAAGTTAGTGAATTAGATGGCACTTAGTATTTGGTTGTTAGAAAAGTTATGATGCCCTTTTACATAGAAAGATATGTAGTAATTTTTTGATGACCCAATATTTGAAGAGAAAAAAAAACTTTAATGGGTTTTTGCCTTACAGTGCATGTACTCACCAGAGAGAGACAGAGAGACAGAGATAGTAAGAAAGTGAGAAATCACCCCCAGGGAGGATGGGCACACTGCAATCCTTTCTTTACTTTTTTTATTTTTATTTTTTGAGAGATTTTTGTTATAGGGCACATGTACTTGCCAGAGAGACAGACAGAAAGCACCCCTCAGGAGGTAACCATGCTGCAAATCATTTCTCCTCCCAGGATCTTGGGCATGTACGCACACATGCCCAGCATGGTTTTCTTTCTTATTTTTTAAAGAATTATTTTATTTAACTTTATTTGTTTATTCATTCATTTTTATTTTAATAGACCAGAGAGGGGGCAGAGTGAGAGAGAGGGAAAGTGAGAAAGCAAGCCACGAAGTATAGGACCTTAACTGTGGTCAGCCATGTGGGAGTCCAGCACCCTTAACCACCATTCCACCTGCTGGGCAAACAAGTGAGACCTCATCCCCCCTCCCCCAGGGGGGATAGTTACGTTGCAATCCCTCCTTCATTCTCCTCTTGGGATTTTGGGCACACATGCACCTGTACCCAGTGTGAATTTCAAGTGTCCACGTGCAGACTCAAACCATGGTCAGCCATGTGAGAATCCAGCGCCTTACCCACTATTCTACCTGCTGCCCCTGCCTAGTGTTTTCCAAACTGTCAGAGCCAGGATAGAAACCTGATCTGACATGTGGAATCCAGCTTCTTCTGCACAGCACTTAACTGCTGCACTATGGGGCTGGCTCAATTGCTTGTTTTTAATCCATTATTGCAATGAAATTAATACAGAATAGTTGTACCAATATTATCTCTAAATCCACTGGGTCAGTAATGTTTCACGTTCTGGTATCTCGAAGAATGGTAATAATACATTTTTACTGAACTATTCAGGTTGTTTAGTGTGACAGTACTTGCAGCATTTTCCCACTCACCACTGGACACATCAGTGCTTGTTCTGTGTTCATCTTTATTCATTTTGGGGGTGTGCCTTGTAGGGGGTCAATGAAAGCTCTTTCTTGGTGTGAGCCCAGCACAAAGCCCTGTGTGAGTGTGTTCCACTGTGGAGGGATGAGATTGGCAGGAAACCTGGCGGGACCTCCAAAGCAGGGCCTGAGTCCCACACATACTCATTGCTCACCAGTAGGTGTGCATGTCCCTGCTCTCAGCCTGTGCACTTTTTTTCCTTCTTCCTCTGCTCATTGTCCTCTCTCTGCTGACACTTGATTCCACAATTGATGCCGAGTCCCCTTCTAAACCCAGGGAGACTCAGTAGTTGCCCAAGGTCACATAGTTGGTTGGGCAGAAGGGGGCGGAACTCAAAATCCTGTGTCTCACTCAGAAGACTGGTGCCTTCTCCATGGATCCGTGTGGCCTCTCTGATTTCACATGCATTTATGAAGAATTAGGAGATGCTGCCTGACCTCTGAGTCTACTTTTCCTCTCTCTCAGCATTAGGCTCCCAGCTGTCTCGCTGCTGTGATCTCCTGGCTCTTGGTTGCCCTGTTCTGGGCGATGAGGCCAAGGGAGAGCCCTGCGACCCAGCTTGGAGTAGAGGCCAGCAGTGTAGGACCACATCTAAGCGGCGGCACCTTTGTTTACTCATTGTTCACCGGTACATGAGTTAAGACTCCTCCTATGTTTTGAAAGCTCAGTCTTTTTTTCCCACCTCATGTTTTCACACAAGAATTTCTCCAATTTATTACAAAGTTTCCTAAGTAAGATTTCCAATAAGCTTTTAATTTTAGGACAGTTTTTTTTTTTTTTTGAGAGGTTTTCACTCTAGGGCGTGTGCGCTCGCCAGAGAGAGAGAGACATAGAGACAGAAAGCGAGAAATCACTCCCCAGGGGGGATGGTCACACCACAATCCCTTCTCCTCCATTCTCCTCTCGGGATCTTGGGCATGCACACACACGTGCCCGGCGAGAGTTTTAAGCCACCAGGTCCGGGATATGAACCGCGGTCGACTACGTGGGAGTCCAGCGACATAGCCATTACACTAACTGCTGGTTCCCGTAATTTTAGGACAGTTTTAAGCTTTACAGAAAAGCTGCAAAGACAGTACAGACAGGCCAGCTCCATGGCCTGGTGGATATTAGAAATAGTTGTCATACACTGCCCACCCAATGCCCTCTACTGTGAACATCTTGTATTATCGTATGCATTAGGTTTTTCAGGCTGCCGTAACAAAGTGCCACAAACTCGGTGGCTTCAAATGACAGAAGCCTACTGCCTGAGACCACGCTGGGAGGAGTAGAGGGAAATGTGTGATGAAATTCCCCTGCAAGCCCAACCTCTAGGAGACTGCCAGGAACTGACAGCTTTAGACTCAGGTTGTGGGGTGATTCAGAGTCAGGAACCGAATCTACCCCCAGAGCTCATATTGCTCCCTGGGCTGGGCTGGGCTGGGCTGTATGAGGGCATGTGGCCTCAGTTCACACCCCAATTATCCTGGTGGACCACTGTCTGAGCAGACGGCTGAGCTGATGCTGCAATGTGCCAAGAGACGCCTCCAGGAAGAAAAGTCTATGAAGGAGCTGGTGGAGCAGGTGATGGAAGCACAGAAGAACATCAAGATAGCCCAGATGAAGCTTGTGAAGGGCCGACGGCAGATAGGTATAGCAGGAGCCAGATGCCATAAGGCTTTGCTCTAGCTCTGCTTTGTGTGTCCTGGGCTGGCATCCTGCCAAGGGAGCTATTGTGGCCACTGAGGGCCAGGTGCCCCTTGAGGGAGGGTTGGGGTCAGGCAGGCCCTCCTAGGTGGCTACCCTGAGGTCTGACCAAGGAACTCCTAGGAGAAAACATGCCCCTGCCCAGCATCTGCCAGGCTGCTCATTGACCCCCTCAGCCTTCTGCTTGACCCCCAAGTTCAGGAGGTTACAGAAGAGAGCCGGGAGCTGCTGCAGCGCAGGGCAGAAGCGGCCAAGGAAGAGCAGAGGCGGCACTGTGAACTCATCTCCCAGCTGCGAGCACTAGAGACACAGCCTAGGCGCAAGGGCAAGCTTGTGGACCTGACACAGGTGAGGGCCATCCCCTGGAGCCCACCTCCCCAGAGAACCTGCATGTGTGTTACCGTGCTGGCATTGTCATAGGAAGGTATGTCCAGAATTCCTAGAGACCAAAGGCTGGTCTTACCCCAACTGAAATCCACCTGGCCTCTCATCACCAGCACCATGTTGTAGACCTTGGTCTAGTCCCAAGGTGGGGAGGGGCCCAGGGCCCCTGGAGATGAACTAGACTTCACAGAGGAGACCACTTGGGCAGAAAATCCAGGGTATTCTCTGGCTTACTGTGGAAAGAGCAGCATAGGGAGAGCACAGGCATACAAAGACCTGAGGCCGGACAGAGTAGGAGAATGAGAGGAGGGCCACCTGGAACCCGTATGAGAAGGCACTGTGAGGGGCCGGGTTGGCAGTGGGCAAGGGTAGTGGGGGACAGGCCTGGGAGGGCCTTAGGAACTGGCTGCAGGGCCTGGCTAGCTCTAGGAAGTGTGGAGAGTTTGAGGGGCTCTACACTCCAGGCCAGGCCAGGGATACTGGCTGAGAGGACAGTGAAATCCATTTGAGACCTGCCACAGTGGAGGGGCCTATGGAGCACCTAGCTGAGACGTCTAGTCAGCCCCACACAAGTAGGTTGCTGGGCAGGCATCATTGGAGAAGCTGGATTGGGGGTGTGCGCACATTATAAGGGAGGCATGGAAGCTGAGGATGCCCCCTTGGCAAGGTGTAGGCCATGGAGCATGTAAGGGCAAGTACAGCTCCAGGCTCGGGACCTCCCCCACCATCCCACAGATCCCTGGGTATGGACTGGAAGGTGAGATGTCCATTGTGGAGCTGCGAGAGCGGCTGGCCCTTCTCAAAGAGACTCAACAGCGTGAGGAGGAGGAAAGGCGGGATCAAATCATCCAGGGCAAGCGTGCCAAAAGCCAGGAGCTACAGAACACAGTGGAACAGATCTCACTGTGCCGCGCAGCCTTGGGAAGATCTGCAGCCTTGAGGTCAGTATCTGGAGGTCTGGGGAGGATGACGTCAGGTGAGCAAGGAGCAGCAAACCTGCTTCCTGGATGGGTCTGCAAGCAAATACCTACCACCCTCCTGCCCAGGCAGTTCCCTTGCAAAACCTCCCCCCAACCCCTACTCTTCCAGTAGACGATTTCAGGCATACTGAAATGGTGAAAAAAGCATGCCCGTGACCAAGATGTAATCATTTTGTGCCTGGGTCATGGGTAAGACCTTTTGCCATATGTGTTTCATCTAGCTAGCTAGCTAGTTAGCTATTTGTCTGCAGAACCATTTGGAAGTAGTTGCAGGCGTCAGACATTTAGCTCCTGAACACTTCAGCTGCATCTTCTAAAAAAAGATTGTCCTATATAACCATAGCACCATGACACAACTAGAAAATTTACAAAAATTCCCATATCATCTAAATATCCCATCCGTATTCACTTTCCTCCAGGTGTCTTAAGACCGGTAAAGCATTTTAAAGACAATTAGCTATAACTTTTTTTTTTCTTTTCCTTTTAAAACTAGGGTCTAGTTAGGGTCACATACAGCACAGACACACACCTTTTCGTTTATTTAGGGGCACTTGGTGACTTTTCAGTCCCAGGGAACAATATGTATAATCATTATTAGAAAACATGGCCCATGTATAGAAAAGAGTTGCAAAACTACACCTCAGTACTACGTAGTGATTAGCCCTCTACAAAAGAGCAGCAATGTGTGAGATAAATGGGGGCTTTCTCATTTTTACCTGAATTTATATATATGGTTAGTATACATGTTACTATATTTTTAAAATTAATGTTAGATTTTAAAAGCAAAAGGGTAGGGTAGAGTTGCTGGCGGGATCCCTCCCTCTTTTCCTGCAAGGTGATCACCAGAGGCACTCAGCTGACAGGAGGGAGGACGCGGGGAGTCATTTCTGTGATCTCCAAGGACCCAGCACAGGATGGGCCCCGCCCACGTCCAACCCCAGGTCAGGCCCTGGCCGCCAGCAGGCACTGCTCTAAGCTCGCCTCGTCGCCTGATAGGTGGGAAGAGAAAAAAGCCCTTTCGGCGGCCCCGGGGGCGCCCTCCCAGGATGAGCGTGTGCTCAAACTGCAGCGCAGGATCGAGGAAAGGGCGGCCGAGCGCAGAAGGCAGGCTGCGCGGCAGCACGAGTCCGCGCTGCGGGCCACACGTCCCAAACTCAGGGTGAGCCGGAGGGCAGTAGCTAGGGAAGGAGGTCTTGGCCTCCAGATAAGGGGCGGAAGAGGTGGCCATTGGCTGGGGATGGGGGCACGGTGTCCGGGTGAGGGGGCTGCTGGCTGGCGGTGTGGGAAGGCTCCAAGACCTTGGGCAGTGCTTAGGAAGAATCCGAAGTAAGGAGCTTGAGGCTGTTGCTAGCGCGGTGTCCACGCGGCTCCGCGCGCCGCCTGGAGGCTGCCTGAGCCGAGTCGGATGCACCCGGGCTGCCAGCACTGCCTCGCACCGATACTGCCCCGACCAAATAAGCTTGCGGTGGGCTGATGACGCCTTCTCGTTTCGTGTCGCCGCTTCCCCCAACCCTAGTCTCCCTCCGCCCAGCCGCTCGAGCCTATCTACGCATTTTTGCCGGGAGCCTAAGTTCCCCAAACCTCATCTGCCCAGGGCCTGGTTGTCAAATAAAAGACAGGACACCAAGTAAATGCGTGGGACAAACTTACTCTATGCTATAAAAGTATATGCTTTTTAAAAGATTAATTAATTTTTTTAAATTTGACAACACACACACACACACACACACACACACACACAGAATGAGAAAGCAAGCCGCCACCAGGACTCCAACCGTGGCTGGCCATATAGGAGTGTCCACCACCTTAACCACCACGCCACCTGCTGGTCCTCAGAAGTATAAGCTCTTTTATCTGAAATTGCCGGACTTTTTCTTTGCCTCCCCTCAAGGAGAAGGGGAGTGGGAGAGAGAGAGAAAAATAAGTGAAAGTGAGAAAGCACCCCTTAGGGAGGATGTCAACACTATAATGCCTTCTCCTCCATTCTCCACTGGGGATTTGGAGTATTCAGGTACATCCAGCATGTGTTGTTTGTTGAGAGAGAGATTTTTGCTATAGGGTGCATATGCTCACCAAAGAGTGACAGAGAATCTCCTCCATTCTCCTCTCAGGATTTTGGGCACATACACACACACTCACTCACGGTTTGAGTTTCGAGCCACCGGATCTAGGACTCAAACCGCAATCTACCACGTGGAAGTCCAGCTCCACAACCACTACCTGCTGACCCCAAGCCCAGAGTGTTTTTAAAGCCTCTGATCTCAGACTGGAAACTTGTAGTTGACTATATGTAATCCACCTGCCTCAACCTCCACATCATTTGCTGGCTATGTTTTGTACTTTTTTTAAATAATTATTTTATTGTTTTACTCTTTTGTATAGGGCTCAGTACAATCACCAGAGAGAGACAGAGAGAAAGGGAAAGTGAGAAAGCAAGCCACCAGGTCCAGGGACCCGAACCACAGTCTGCCATGTGGGAGACATGCTAAATCTGGCCACCCTGGCCCAGATTCTAGCCCTTCCCTATGGCTGGCACACTGCATAACCTGCATCCCCATCTTCAGAGTTCCCAGAGCACTCTTCACATGTAGAAACCTGGAATCCTTACTCTGGTAAGGTACTGGGTGGTACTGGGTGGCTTCCCCTGGGGAACTGGGAGAACAGTGGAAGTGTGCCAGGATTTTTTTTCCCCATCTTTTTAATTTTTAAAATTTTTGCCATAGGACACATGTGCATGCTGGAGAGAGACACAGAGAGAGAAAGTGAGAAATAGCTCCCCAGGGGTAATGACCATGTGCAATCCCTTCTCCATTCTCCTCTCAGGACTTTGGACAAACATGCACACGTACCTGGTGAGTTTTTCAGTTCATCCGGTCTGGGACTTGAACTACACAGTCAGCCATGTGAGATCAAACCACCTTAACTACCATGCCATCTGCTGGCCCACATGTGTCAGGGTTAAGTGCCAGCTATGAATTGACTCTTCACACAAGTCGTATCTCATGTAATCCTCACAACTGTCCATGGGAAATAGGAACTGTTGTCCACTCCCATTCTAATGATGAAGCCACCAATGCTCAAAGAGGTGAAATGGCTTGCCCAAAGAGCCAGGACTCCAAGTTAAGCTTGGGTGACTTTAGAATACTCTTACCCTTTCTTTGGTATCACGGAAGAAGTCTGTATCCAACATGGTTGGGGCCACCAGGAGCACTAGCTAGCCCACAGCAGGCACCAGGATGATTCATCTTTGTCCTTGGATCTAGCACCAGGCTGAAGAAGGGGAGATCTTGAGGACAGGTTTGGGGAATGAATGTCTGCTGGTGAAACACAGCTTCAAGAATAAAACATCACCTCGTCAGAGGCTCTACCTCTATCCCAAGCTACTCAGAGGCTGAAGTAGAGGAATCCTGAGTTCAAAACGGCCTAGGTGACTGACATAGCAATCAAGACATTGCCTCTTAAAAAATAATCCTGCCTCTATAAGTAGATAGATGGATAGATAGATATAGATAGATAGGAATAAAACACATTGTGCTCTGGTTCTTAGAAAGGAGAGAACATGGGCAAGTCCATGGGGTGAGGAACAGTAACAGAGGGCCAGAAACTGCCAGATGGAGAGATGTCCAGGAAAACAATCATACCCCCCCCCCCAGTTCCTCCTTGACCCTGCAGAGGAAATGGCAACTCAGATGTGGAGACTGGACTCCAGAGTATATTCAGACCAGGAAGGTGGGCATCTTAGCAGTGACAAGAACAGACCAGAGTCCTACCCCAATATTCTGAATTATATTAGAAATCTAGGACTTTCTCACAAGCCAGGTTGGTGAGGAGTTCCCATTTCCTTGTCAAAACAGAGCTGTAACAGATTAAATTTTATATAAGGAAACATTTCTTATATCCTGTGTTGTATGATTCAAACCCATTTCACTTGCTATTCAGAGACTATGTTGATGATGAGTGGTCCAGAGAGAGTCCCTCAGAAACACTGAGTTTAAAGGCAATTTGCTAAATTCTGCAGCTACAATCCAAGGATAGGGTTGACATCAGGATGTACCTAATCTAGGAGCTCTATCCTCAGACAGGTAGCAGTGCTAACCCAAAGAACATGAAATATCTGCTCCAATCTTAGTGGCTCAAACTGAATATCTAAAAGGGAGGAGAAGGTTTTTTACCCTTCACCTATAAGGCTGGCCTCTGCAGCAAAGGGGAGATGGAGTGGCCCAACAAATTTGGGGTGTTGCTGGCAACAAAGTAGGCAACAAGCTGTCCCCTGTCTCACCCTCCTAGATTTAGCTGCTACTCAGAGCTAGCTTTAGAGCAACTGGGGCCTTTGCTCCATTCAGTCCTAAGTGAGAGCAGGCCTCGGAACATTTCCTAAAGTTGCAGCCGAAGGACAAGCATTGTATGATAGATTGATGACAAAATGTCTTCCTGAATCTATGTTTCTTACCTTGTGACTTTACAGCTCCCATCATAAGGAAGCCCTTGTGGGTCAGGTGGTTTTGCAGTAGTAATGTGACACTGCCAGACTCTGGAACACATCGCTGTTATTGCTGGAATTCTTTCTTTCAGTTCTCTACATAGGACGGTTCCAGGACTTTCTCCCAAGGGCTCCCCGTACACACTGGGCTAGCGAAGGCTAGAGGTGGATTATAGTATGAAGACCCTATCAAGGATACCTGACTGTCTCTCTTTCATGGAAAACATAAATGAAGATGTTTTAAAACTAAAGAGAGGGCCAGCAGGTGGCATGGTGTTTAAGACGCTGGATTCCCACATGGCTGACCAGTTTGAGTCCATGACCGGCAACTTGAAAATCATACTGGGTGCATATGCGTGCATTCTCAAAATCCTGAAAGGAAAATAGAGAAGGGACTGCAAGTAGCAATCCTCTGCCAGAAAAGCAATTTCTCATTTTCCCTCTCTTGTCTTTCTCCAGCCAGAGCTTGTGCCTTATGACAAAAACCTGAAGAAAAAAAAAAAAAACATACAAACAACAAAAAAGAGGAAGTCCTTGAATCTGGCCTCATGACTTTCTTTGGCCAATAGGGTGCAAGTGGCCTTAGAGCTTTCACTTATACTCTTGGAACCATGCCCGGGCCCCATGTGAGCATAAACAGGGTGGTCTGCTGAAATAAGACACCATCACAACTAGGAAAGCTAGTTGTTCCAGAGGCCATCTTAGACCAAGCAGCCAGACAATCATCAGATCCCAGCATGTGAGGCCACTCAGGGCCCCTTCTACCTCCCTGCTGACTGTTTCCATTATTGCTCACAAGTAACAATAAAGGCCTATTGTTAAAAATATTGAACTTTGAGGTGATTTGTTCCACAGCAAGAGTTAGCGGACACATTATCAAGAACCAGTAGCCTCTACACAGAACCCCTGCTTCCTCCTTACCTGAGCCCTTTGAGAGAAAATCAAGCTACCCCTAAAAAGGGGGTCAGGAGGCTCTGAGACCCAGCTGGTACTGAGAATGCTATCTCTGGACTTTCCTTGGCTGTACTGTCTTGGGAGCTGATATTCTGCCAAAGTGTAGTCTAGCACATGGTGTGAGGCTAAGTAATCTGCATTTAGTTGGTTTCTAAGTGTGAAACTGTTAGGTTGAGAAATTTGAGGTCTATGTCTCTCTGTTGCAGCAAAGAATTGAAGGACAATGAGACAAGCTGAGCACAAAGTTTATTGAGGGAGATAGAGATACATTCCACAGACAAAATGGGCCAGTGTCAAGGGAGACAAGAAGGCCGTTAGAAAGATAGACCTAAGGCAAACAGAAAAGGCCACTGCCAAGGGAGACAAACAGCACCTGCTCCTTTCTGGTGTTCCCTTTTATTGTTTTAGATCCTTTGTTTATTCTAAAATATGTGTCCTTAGATCTTCTTTGTCCTGTTACTTTTGTTCTTTATCTTTTTCCTCGGGCTTATTCCTCATTCTTGTTTCTTATGGATCCCATGCAGCAGGGAGTTACTTTGCTTAATACAGACAGTCATATACATAGTCCCTCCTTAACATTTCTTTGTGCTCCAGGCTAGTTCTCTGATGACTGCTTTACCAAGGTTCTCATCCCTAACAACTCCTAACAGGATTATGGGAGTACCAAGGTGCCAATTTTTTCTCCAAGCTGGGGATGTTCAGGACCTGAGTGAGACAGGACTATTTGTAAAGGAGAAAGTACAGTATCAAATAAGATTCAGAGAAGAGTTGAAGGCAAATTTGGGCATCAAAGTGATATTTATAGTGACTTTGCTTTTCAAAATCACTTCTTCAATGTATGAATGTTACAAATAGAAAATTCTAACTATTCCTTAGACTGTGAAATGCAAATACTAATCTTATTTTAACTATAATTTTAAAATATTTATTTATTTATTTCTTCCAAGGGCAAGAGAGAAAAGTTTCTCCAACAGTCTTGACACCATCATTTACCCCCCCCCCACCTTAGCCAACCCTGGCTCATGAGCAACTGCAAGCCCACCACACTTAGGAAGGTCTTGGACATAAACCTGGAACCCTCCCATGTGGGTCAGCCTCACAGAGCATTGCATTATACCTCTGTACCACAGTGCAGCCCCATTTCTAGCCATCATTTGAATTAATTATGTGTGGCCCCATTTATGAACTGAAATTTCCTTAAGCATTTTAAACTGCATTTATACATGTACAATCTTTTTCTTAAGCATTTCAGTTGTGTGCCTTATTTAGTATTTAAATATTTCTCATGTATCAATTGTCTACATTTCTTTAAAACTTGTAAATTCTCTTTATTCTCTTTCACAATCCTTGGAAACTCAAAATCACTTTCAAAATCAAATATTCAAGGGACCAGCAGTTAGCGTAATGGCTATGTCGCTGGACTCCCATGTAGTTGACCACGGTTCGAGTCCCAGACCCGGTGGCTTAAACTCACGCCGGGCGCGTGTGTGTGCGTGCCCAAGATCCCGAGAGGAGAATGGAGGAGAAGGGATTGCGGCGTGGCCATCCCCCCGAGGAGTGATTTCTCGCTTTCTGTCTCTCTGTCTGTCTGGTGAGCACATGCACCCTATATCAAAAGCCTCTAAAAAAAAATAAAATATTCAAACACAAAATTTACACTGGAATCACATTTATCTATTGCATATTCTACCATGCCAAATTCCCTTAAAATATCAAACACCAAGATTATCTGTAAACTCAACACAAAAACACTAGTACTCTGGTTTTGATCTGCTTTGTCATTTCCATATATGGCTCAGTCTTCAAGGATAAAGACTCCCTCCTCTGAAGGAGACAAAGAGAAAATCGATCCCAGACATTTGGGTGAAATTTACTCTGCCTGAAGGTGCCTAGGGACCTATGTGGTAGTCTTTGACTGAGTTCTGGGTATTCTCTAGAAGATGTACTTGTTTGTTTCTGGTTAAATCCATGCCCAAATCCAGTTTTAAGACCAGAGCTCAAGAAATCTGCTACCCAATTCTCTAGTCCAACTCTAGGCTCACTGCATGCACCCATACAAAGCTATGCTGAATCCTCCAACTGTTCACATTCTGCACAACTGAAGTACATACTGTTATTACCCTGCATAACAGATGAAAGAACTGTTGAGACTTGATTAAAGGATGGACCTGGGATTCAAACTCAGGCAGAGGAGATCCAAGGCCTGCAGAAGGATCCAAGGCCCTACATGAGGGATGTTGCACAGGGATGCCCTAGAGGTTCCCAAGAATTCCAGGACTGGACTTGAGGAGGGTACTCTTCTCTGTCTTCTTTCTTTCCTGACACCCACTGCTCTCCAGATAGTCCAGCTCAAACATAATCTTGCACCTGCGCCTTCTCAGATTTGACTCTTACCTCCCTGGCACCTACCAGTCCACATCTCTGTGCTCCTTGACACACTGCGCAGCCAGCCTTCAGTTTCCTAGGCATGCCAATCTCTCCCCAGGCTCTGGGACACATGGCTGTCTCTTGCTAGAACTCTCAGTTCTCAGTTCTTCAGTTCCCAGCCTCGAGTTTGCTTCCTGAGGGGATCCTTCCCAGATGTCCTGGTTGAGGGTCCTCTGGGCTCCTGCGGAGAGATGGGCTTCTCTGCAAGAGTCCCAGGATCAGGCCCTCACAGGAACCGGGCCTGGGACGACTGATGTCGGCCAGGCTTCTAATCAGAGACCCCATTCCCTGGGAACATCCCTCACAGAGACCTCGTTATAAACGAGGAAACTGAGACCCAGACAGCGGAGCAGAATAACTGGTTACTAATCCCAGATCTGCTCTTTCGGTCCACCGCGCCCAGTCAGGGACACAGCAGCTGTCGTGCGGGGTCGTAATCTAAGAATGAACCCGCTCAGGGCCTGCTTGCCTCTCGAGATCAGAAGCAGGCCAGCTCCGACCTGGTCAGAACTGCCAGCTGCCGCCCACCAGGCTCTTCGGTCTTCCTCAGACTACAATTCCCAAGAGGCCTCGCGCGCAGAACCACGCTAGCGGTGTATCTCGCGGGAAGGTGGGAGCTCGGGCGAGAGGGCGTGGGCGGTGCCGGAAGGAGGTGCGTTTCGGAATGGTAATAGATGGTTTCCTTATCCAATAGGATTGAAAAGACACCACTTTAACCGGTAGACTGAGGGAGTAGGGACGGCGGCGACCAATGGGAACGCGCGGAGGGCGAAGCCGCGGCCTCTGGAGCGGAAGTGTGGTGCTGTTGAGGCGGCCGTGTCTTGCTTGAGGGGTTCTCCTCAGCGGCTCGCAAAGGTGCTTCTTCGCTGGCGTGCTTTGACGGCGTCGCTTGCTGGACCAGACCTGCTCAAAGTAAGGTAAAGCTTCGCAGAGAGGGAGCGACAAGTCAGAGTCTGGGGAGGTGCAGGGTTTAGGCGGCTTCGCGGCCTGCAGAGGCGTCGGCGCCCTCGGCCGGGGAGCCGCCTTGTCTGGCTAAACTCTGTTCAGGTTCGGCAGCCAGGGCCAGGCCTCACCGAATCTCAGGCCAGCTCTTCCCGCTCGGCACCACTGTCCGTGGGTGAGCGGAGCGCGGGTCTTCGCGGCCAGAGAAATGTGGGAGGCCTCCTTCAGAGTCTTGACCATGGGCCGCGGGGCTTAGTCCGTAACCTAGGAAGGGAAACTGAGGCTCGGGGTGTGGCATGGACGCATTCAAGGTCACTTAGAGTCGTGCGGGGTGGGCTGTTCGCAGGAGACTTGCACAAGGTTCTTGTTCTTAGTTGACGATGTTTGCTCGTGTGTGCTGGCGCAGCCGCCCCTCCATCGTAGTGCCTACGAGTTTGTTGGAGTGCTTGGGCCTCGCGGCAGAACCTTTTCTGGGCTAAGATGGGGCCGAGTGTGGGTGCGAGCCTAGCCCAGGGATCGCCGATTTCCAGGCCGAGAACTTAGCAGGGCCTCAGCTTCCGGGAGCGCTTCCTGCCCGGTAGTTGGTGAAATGCCCAGCGGCCCAGCCCAACCCTTTCACCCCTTTGGCCTGTCACCTCTCTGGCGCGCCTGTATAAAGGTGTAAGAAAATTAGATTTTTTTTTTTTTGAGAAGTTTTTGCTATAGGACGCGTGCGCTCGCCAGGAAGAGAGAGAGACAGACAGAAAGCGAGAACTCACCCCTCCCCCCCAGGGGGGGATGGCTACGCCGCAATCCCTTCTCCATTCTCCGCACACACACGCGCCTGGCGTGAGTTTAAGCCACCAGGTCCGGGACTCCAACCGCGGTCGACTACATGGGAGTCCAGCGACATAGCCATTACGCAAACTGCTGGTCCCAAGAAAATTAGATTCTTAAGTTCTGAAATGCAGTAGTGAGCACTTTTTGACCACCTTCTGACCCATCGGGAGGAACGAAATGGACAGAGCTTGAGCAAGCCATTTTTGTGGGGATTTCAGCTTTTGTCCTATGCTTGTTGGTGCCTATGAACGTTTACTATAATAACCTTCGTTCTGCTTCTGCACCAAACTCGAGCCAGACAGGGTTTCAGCCCTGCAGCCTTGCATTCAGCTTAGGCTGCTCAAGTGGTTGGGGATTTGACTGAGGGCCAGAAAGAAGAGGTGGTCTACCCAAGGTCACACAGCTAGCTAGTTGGCCTCAGATTGAGTCTAGGTCCTGACTGCAGGAATTAGGCTTTTGAATTCAGTGACCAGGAGTTCTGTGACCAAAGGTAATGAAAGGCAGAGACATTGAAGGGAATCTTTTTGTTTGTTTTTCATGAGTTTCTTTTTAGTGGATGGGGAGACGTTTAGTTCAGGTTTACCTATGAGTTTGAAAGAAAGATAATGCTGGCTTTTGTATTGCCTGAACTTGTACTTCTAATTCTAGTTTAAAAATCTTAGCCTTGGAGCCAGCAGGTGAAATGGCGGTTAAAGGTGCTGGATTCCCACATGGCCAACTGCAGTTCAAGTCCTGGACCTGGAGGCTTGCTTTCTCACTTTCCCTATCTGTCTCTCTCTGGTGAGCACCCATACCCCATAGCAAATTAAAAATAATGATGATGATGATGATAATGATAAATACAATTAAATAGTCTTTTAGAAAAAAATCTCAACCTTGGGGCCAGCAGGTGGGGTGGTAGTTACATGGCTACTGTGGTTGGAATCCCCAACCTGGCTTGAAAAATCAAGCCAGGCTGGGGCCAGCAGTTGGCATAATGGCTATGTCACTGGACTTCCATGTATTCGACCACGGTTCAACTCCCGGACCGGGTGGCTTAAACTCACACTGAGTGTGTGTGCATAAGTGCCCAAGACCCTGAGAGAATGGAGAAGGGATTTCAGTGTGGCCATCCCCCCCTGGAGGATGATTTCTTGCTTTCTGTCTTTCTGTCTCTTTCTTTCTGGCGAGTGCACGCGCCGTATAGCAAAAACCTCTCTAAAAAAGAAAATCAAGCCAGGCTTGTTTGCATATGTGTCCAGAATCCCAAGAGTATGGAAGTGGAAGGGATTGTGATGTGGCCATACCCCCTGGGGAGTGGATTCTCATTTTTTCCTCTCACTGTTTCTCTCTTTGGCCAGTACACACACCCTATGGCAAAACCCTTAAAAAATTATCATCTTTGAAAAGAACTTTTTTTTAAGAGGTTTTTCCTGAGGGCATCTGGGCTCACTGGAGAGATAGGCAGAGGGAAGGTGAGAAATCACCTCCCAAGGGGATGTGCACGCTGCGACCCCCTTCTCCATTCTCCTTCTGGGATCTTGGGTGTGCATACACATGTGCCCAGTCTGATTTTCAAGCCACTGTTCTGGGACTAGAACCACAGTCGATCATGTGAGCATCCAGGGACATAGCAGCTATGCCATCTGCTGGCTCATATAAGGAACTTTTTAAGAGGTTAATTTCTTAATCTACCCTTCCATGAAATTTTCATGCTACACATACACTGTATGTATGTTTGTACTTTGTAAGTAAAATGAGTAAGACTTTTTTGTCCTCTTTGAGAATGCATACATTAATATTCTGATTTTTTTTTTAATTTTAATTTTTATAATTGCCAGAGAGAATAGGCACTCACCAGAGAAAGAGAGAAAGCACTCCTCAATGGAGCATGCTCATACTACAATCCTTTTTCCAACATTCCTAAATCCTGTCAGGATTTTGGACTTGCATAGACATGCACCTAGTATATTTTTCAAGCAGGTGGGTTTTTTTCAAGCTTTAGGGGCTAGGATTCAAACTGTGGTTGACCATGTAGGATCCAGCTCCCTTAATCACTGAGGTATAGGCCAGCCCTGCGTGTGTAATATTAATATTCTGAGTCAGCACATTTTTCAGGTCTTCTATGTGCTAAGCTTTCTGTTTGGGGTACAGTGGTGAACAAAATAGGCTTGGTGCTGGCACTCTCTGGAGCTGAGTGAGGGTGAAGGGAATGAGAAAGCCCTTGCAATTGAAATAATAGATTGTACAAGAAGTATAGCAAGAGACTGGAGAAATAAGCAGGAACCAAAATATGAAAGTGTTTATAATCTCCAAAATAAAAAGTTCAGAATTTATATTAAGGCTAAAAGGAAAACACTAAATTGAGCATTAAGCTGGGATGTGATATGGTTAAAATTGTTTTAGGGGGGCCAGCAGTTAGCGTAATGGCTATGTTCGCGTCCCGGACCCAGTGGCTTAAAACTCAAACCGGGCCGTGTGCATGCCTCCCCAAGATCCCGAGAGGAGAATGGAGGAGAAGCGATTGCGGCGTGGCCAACCCCCCTGGAGGGTGATTTCTCGCTTTCTGTCTCTGTCTGGCGAGCGCACGCGCCCTATAGCAAAAAAAATCTCTAAAAAAAAATTGTTTTAGGAAAAAACACTGTGACATTAGATGGACAGATTAGAAAGGTGAACAAGGCTGGTGGCCTTGAGACCAGTTAAGAAGAGAGAGGAGTAGCTTAGATAATGGTAGCAACTCTGAGGACAGAATTTGGTGTATTAGATTAGTTGTGGCAGTTCTTCACTGGCTCGTTACTTAAAGGCTGTTAGCAAATTCCACCAATTTCTGGAGAATTGGAGTGCTACTCAATAAAAATATGTGCACAATGTAATTGTTTATATGCTGCATAAAAATGACTTTGTTCTTTGTGTGTGTGTGTGCGCGCGCGATACCAGTATTTCACTTTTTTAAAATAATTACTTAATTTAATTTAATTTTTATTCATTTATTTTAATTTGACCAGAGAGGGACACAGTGAGAGAGAGGGAGAGAGAGAGAAAAGGAAAGTGAGAAAGCATCCCATCAGGTCCGAGACTTAACTGCAGTCAGCCGTTAGGGAGTCCAGCATTCTTAACCACCATGCCATCTGCTGGCCCCACCAGTATATCATTTTGAAATGATTTACTTATGTCTTTCACTTTCTCCCAAATAAGACATCTTTGAAGGTAAACTTGCTTCATGTTGAGTATTACAGTGTTGGTCATTGTTATTGAGATAAAATTCACATGTGTGATTTTAAACTTGTCTCTCCTAAATATAGATAGTCCCTGACTTAATCATGGTTTGACTTAGGATTTTTAGACTTTATGATGGTGCAAAAGCCATACATATTAAGTAGAAGCCATGGCCTTATCATAAGTATACATAGACTTAATAGAATACTTAATAGTATTTCAGCTTATGTTGCATTTTCTCCTTGCTATGGTTTTATGTAACCCCAATGTTAAATCAAGGAGCATTTGTATGTTGT